GAGGGTGTGCAGTAAGTGGTGTGGAGAGGGGTTTCCTGAGCGCTGAGGTCTCTGTGTGAGAATGATGCTTGGTCAGTCGGCTCAGCCCTGAACCACAGGCCCTCAGTGACAGGCGCCCTGTGCTCCTGAGTAGGTCTGTCCCCCGGCTTGTCTCACAGGGCCAAGCACAGAGCGGAGGCCCTTGGCTGGGGCCCAGGGGTGGTGCTGAGTGGCTCATGGAGCTGGCGCAGAACAGAGGAGGAGGGTGCTCTGGGAGGAGGTGTGGGGAAGAAGAGGCTCGCAGCAGGAGAATCTGGGGTGCCAGGGTGTGTGCCCCGTGTGTGGAACAAGTTCTCATTTCACACCAATTAGCATCAGCAAGGCAGCAGCATAGAAAGCCGCAGACCCCACTGCCTTGCAGAAAACTGACTGAAAACACAGGCAGAAACCTTTATCAGAACTCCAGAAGGCAGGAGGGTACACGGTTTTAAGCCAGTTCAAAGCCAAGAAGAGTCCCATTGAAATGGCTGTGCCAGCCATGGAGGCACGTGCCTGTGACCTCAGTCACTCAAGAGGCTGAGGCAGGAGGACTACAAGTTCAAGGCCAGCCTGGACAACGTCTGGAGATCCTGTCAAGAAATGGGAGGGGGCTTCCTGGGGCACTGGCGTCTGTGTGCCTTGCTCAGAATGCTCAGGAGAAGCAGTGTACATACCCTGCACACCTAGGGCTGAGAGGACAACGTAAGCTCAGTGTGTAAGGACTGAGAGCAGGCTCTTACTCAAATGCACAACTCCAGACAGAGCTAAATAGCGCATAAAAAACCTGGAAAACACGGCCCGATTTCAGGAACAAAATGAATCTCCAAACCTAGTGTAAAGAAGGAGAAGTATATGAACCACTTGATGAATTCAAAATAATGATGATAAAGATATTCAGTCGATTCACAAAATAATAATAAACAGAATAATAATATCACTAAAGATATAGAAAGGCTCTTAAATAACCAAATAGAAATTGTAGAGCTAAAGAACACCTTAAGGGTTCAACAGTAAACTTGACAAATGAACTCAAAGACAGATCTTTGCCAAATATGGTGGCACAAGCCTGTAATCCCAGCACTCAAGAAGTTGAGATAGGAGAATCGCTGTGAGTTTGAGGCCAGCCTGAATGGCATAGCTTGACCCTGTCTCAAAGAAAAGACATATTTCTGGCTATTATCCAGAGAAGCAACAATAAAAATAAATGAAAAAGAGTGAAGGAAGCCACAGAGACTTGTGAACACCATCAAGCTGACTAACAAATATATGTGTGGGAGTTCGGGGGAAAGAAGAGAAAAATGGGACAGACATTATTAAAGAAATAATGGCCAAAACATCCTAAATCTGTGGAAGGAAATGGGCATCCAGAGTCAAGAAGCCCAAAGGATCCAAATTAAAATTACACTAAGGTGCACTGACAGAGATTATAATCAAGTTGTCAAAAGTCAAAGCCAGAGAGAGAATTTGGAGAGCAGTAGAGAAAAGTGACTTATCACATAGAAGAGAGATACAATGAGGACATCAATGAATTTCTCAGCTAAAACTTTGCAGGACAGAAAGATGTAGGGTGATATATTCAAAATACCAGGGTGATAGAGACCTACCAGCCAAGACCACTCCATCTGCAAAAACTTCCCTTCAAAAATAACTGAAATATCTTCACAGATAAAGAAAATCTGAGGGTGCTCATTACTATGAGACCTATTTTACAAAAAATTCTAAAAAGAGCCCTTCAAGTTACCAGCAATACAAAAGCATATGAAAGCATAAAGCTCAGTGGTAGAGGTAAACATATAGACAAATATATAATGCCACCATGCTATAACAATGGTGCTGCATAAACCAATCTTAATTATATCATGAGAGCAAATAAAGATAATTGTAGCTATATATAAAAATAATTGTAGCTATAAAAATATGCCAATGATACACAATATAAAAATATAATTTATATTTTAAAAAGGGGGACCATAAAGGTAGTTTTTTTATATGGTTGAAGATAAGTTTTATCAGCTTAAAATTAGTTGCTATAAATGTAAGACACTTTATGTAAGCGTCATAGTAACCACAAAGAAAATACCTATAGAAGATACACAAAAAAAAAAAAAAAACTGAGAAGGGAACCAAACCATGTCACTGCAAAGGAACTCACCAACCAATAATAAAAGAGAAAAAGAGGATCCAAGAAGCTATAAGACACAGAAAACAATAAAATGAGTCATGAGTTCTTCATAAGTAATTATTTTCAGTGTAAATGCATTAAATTCCCCAATTATAAGACACACAGTGGCTGAGTGAATGGATTTTAAAATCAAGATCCCACTATGTGTTTTCAAGAGACTCATGTTAAATTGAAAGACGCGCCTAGGCTGAAAACAGAAGTGTAGAGAAACATGGTCCATGCAACCAGTAGCTAAAAGAGAGTGGAAGTTACTAGTGATAGAAAAAAAAAGGATTTAAAACTAACATGAGAGACAAAGATGGACATTGTATAATATAGAATGATAAAGGCATCATTTCACTGGGAACATATAACATTGTAAACAAATGTGTGTACTTGTATGTACATATTCTATGCTAGAGCACCCTAATACATTGTGACAGTTAAAGCGAGTTATCAGCATGACTGGCCTCATGCCTCCCAGGGAGGTAGTGAAGCACTCTTCAGGTGTGGCTGAGGGGGTCACAGAGCTGTGACCTTGGGCTCTATGACTGGTCCTTGACCCTTTCCTCCCTGACACTCTTGCCCTGCTGTGCTTCCTGGCTGCAGGAACTGAGCAGCTGTGCTCCACCAGGCCCTTCACCATGCTGTCTCTGCCTTGGAGCTAGCCAACCATGGACTGCATCCCCTGGAATTGAGTCAAATTAAACCTCTCCTCCTTTAAGGGTGGATGTCAGGTATTTTGTCCCAGCAATGCAAAAGTTGAATAATATGTATGTATGAAGAAAACCTTGACAGAAATAAAGGGAGAAATACACAGCAACACAATAATTATAGGATATTACAATACCCCACTGTCAATCATGGGTAGAACATCCAAACACAAAATTAATAAGAAAACAGTAAACTTGAACAACACTAAGACCAGATGAATTATACAGATATATGAAGAATATCCTACCCAACCGCACCAGGGCCCCAAGTGTAAGTGGGACATTCTCCAAGATAGATCATATTTAGGGCACAAACCAAGTCTTAACAAACTTAAGACTGAAGTCATACCAAGTACCTTTTCCAATCACAATGAAATGAGACTAAAGGTCAGTATCAAAGAGAGATTTTTAAATACATGGAAATTAGGCAACCCATTCTTGTACAATGAATAGACCAAAGAAGAAGGTAAAGTTAAATTAGAAAATATTATGAGACTGACGAAAAAAAGCCATAACATACCAAATTTTATACCTTTCAGCCAAGATCTGCTGAGAGGGCCTTCACAGCAATAAGTGCCTATGATAAAAAAGAAGAAAAGCCTCAAAAGAAAAACCGAACTTTATACCCCAAGGAGCTAAAAAGTAAGAGTAAACTTAGCCCCAAGTTAGCAGAAGATATAAAAAGATTAAAGCGAAATAAATGAATTCATAAGAAAATATTAGAAAAAAACTAATGAAACTAAGAATTGAGGCTTCTTTTTTCACAAAAGAGCTCCAAAAATGATCAACCTTTAGCTGACTGAAGAAAAAGAATGGAGAAAGACTCAGATAAATGAAATCAGGAGTGAAAGAAGACATTTAAACTACCACCACAGAAATAAAAATAATTATGAGACTACTATGAATAACTACCCACAGCCAAATGAAATAACCTAAGACAAATGAACAGTCCTAAAAGTACACAACCTGCTAAGACTGAGTCACGAGGAATGGAAAATTTGAATGACGCTTTAAGGAGACTGAATCAGGCATAAACACCTCCAACAAAGAAAAGCCTAGGACCACACAGCTTGACTGGAGAATTCTACCAAACACTTTAAAAAGAAGTAACAACAATCTTTCTCAAAATTTTCCAAGAGAATTGAAGGAGAAGGAATAGTTCCCAACTTTATTTCTAATATTGCCATTTTATTTATTTACTAGTAATGTGTGCAGTACACATTTACAGTTATTGTGGGAAATTGGTATGCTCATGTAGTACATGTTAATTATCTTGTTCTGTTTTTCATCCCTCACTGTTACGGCTTGTGTCTGGACGCCCCCACAGCCTCATGCGGTCATGGGGAGGGGCGCTTTTCTGAGGTGGCTGAATCTAAAATTTGTGATTGGTTCATTGTCTAGTGCTGGGGTTGGGGGTATGAGTGCTACACCAGCCCGAGGACAAGTAGCCTGCGACAATATAAGGGAGAAAAAGAGGCTTGCTTCCCCCTTTTGCTCTTGCTGCTTTTGCTGTCTTCTACCACCTAGCTGCTATGAACAGTTGCCCTTCTGCCATGTGCCACCCTGCCTTGGATCCAGCTGACTATGGACTAAAACCTCTACAAAATGTGAGCTAAACAAACCTTTCCTTCTTTAACTTTGGATATTGGGTATTTTGTCTCAGCAATGAGGAAAAAGTAACTAAGACACTCACCTTTCCTTCCTCTCCCTCCCTCCCAATAGTTCCAAACTCTTTTCATGAAGCCAGCATTATTACTCCATTACCAAAGACAAATAAAGATATTGCTAGAAAAGACAAATTGCACGTCCATATCTCTGAGATATATAGATGAAAAAGCAACACAATACTAGCAAGATGATCTTGCCACATAGGAAAGATCATACACTATGACCAAGGAGGTTTTATCCTGAAGTGCAAAAATGGTCCAATCTATGAAATTAACCAATATAATATGCTATGTTAATCAATACAATATGCCATGTTAACAGAACAAAATATTTCACAAAATCCAACACTTACTCAGAACTCAAAAGACTAGGAAGAGGAGGGAGTCCCCTGGGTGGGTGTGCTGAGAGCCCCGTCTGACAAGCTCATCACTCACATGGTACTCAAGGTCTCCAAGGTCAGGAGGAAGGTGAGCTGCCTACAGTCAGCACTGCTGGTCAGTGTGGTCCTGAGTTCTTACGAGGGAGGTAGGCTGGCAAAGGGACCCGGAGGCATCCACAGAAGAAGAACAATTCTCTGTCTGCAGGTAGAAAAACTGTAGGTTCCACAAAAAGGTAGTTAGAACTAATAAATAAATTTAATAAATTTGCAAGATACAGAATCACACCCAACATTTGTTGCATCTTTATACAATAACAGCAATCCAAAATGGAAATTCAGAAAACTATCCTATTTACAATAATATTAAAAAGATTAAATTATTTAGAAATAAATTCAACCCGGAAAGTGAAATACTATACCATTGAAAACTATAGTGTTTCTGGAAGAGATCAAAGAAGATGAAGGTACAGACAATGGCATTTCATATTCATAATTCCAAAGACAATATTGTTAAAATGTCCATACAATCAACCATAGCTACTGAGTAAATGTGAGCCCCATCAAAATCCCAATGGCACCTTTTTTAGCAGAAATATTTTCTAAAATTCCAATATTCACATGAAATGTAAAAGACCCTGATTACACCAAAAAGTCTTGAGAAGGAAGAGCAAGCTTGGAAACTAATGTTACTTGGATTTAAAACATATTACAAAAGTACGTGTTGTGGCTTAGGTGTGGGCTGCCCTCCAAAAGCCTCAGTGTGTCTGGAAAGTGACTGGATCTTGGGGTTCTGTACTCATCACTGGACTGATCCACTGATGTGTTCAATTTGCTGATGTTAGGAGGTGCTGGTCAGGGCGGGTCACTGGGGCAGGGACCTGCAAGAGCTTCCTTCCCTCCCAGGCCCTCCCTTCTCTCTGCTTCCTTCTGCCAGGACGTGAGCAGCTCCCTCCACACAGGCCCTCCCACCGCACCGTGTCTGCCAATGGTGACTGAGACAGTGAGCCCAGGTGACCCTCCCCACCCTTACTTGTGGGTGGTGAGCACCGTGTCTCAGGGGCAAGACAGTGACTAAGATAGTTCGGTCCTGGCAGGAGGATGACACATGGTCACAGGGCAGAACAGGGAGCCCAGCAGCAAGCCCACAGATACATGATCAGATAATCTTTTACGAAAGTGCTAAATCTATACAATGGGAAAAATAGTCTTCAACAAAGAGTGCTAAGAAAAGATGCAAAGGAATGAAATTGGACCTTATCTCACATGATACACAACATAATTCAAATTAGCTTAAAGACTTCAATGTAAGACTTGAATCATTTAAAGCTCTTAAAAGGGAACATAAAAGGAAGCTCCGTACTATTGATCTCAGTTGTGGTTTTTTTTTACTATGACACCAAGAAAACACAAGAAACAAAAGCAAAAATAAATAAATGTGTATCAGGTTAATAACATCTCTTAGTTATTGTAGGTTGATCAGGTCCATAATCTCCTGAATGAGTATATGGTGAAGGCTAAATAAAAAGAGGCAAATGGAATGATTTCAGGGCTCCAGCAGGATCAGAGCCCTCTCACAGAATTAGAGATTCTCTCAGGGCCACGACCAACACCTTCGCTGGTGGCCCGTACTTATTTGGTTATCAGGATAAGGGAGGGGCATACTTAAGAAGGGTGGAACCACTCAAGGATTTCTCTAAGTAAGGTATTAAAGTAATCCTTAATAAGGATTAAGTTAATCCACCCAGGAGTGAGATTCCTGAGGCTACAGCCTTTATCTAGTTGAGGTTGGATCCAAGTGTCCTTGGCTGTGATCTTGTCTTATCTTTTGAGGCTTCATCCACCATTACAGGCCTCAGCAGGAACCAGTGACTCACAGAGGTTCACTTACTATGAGTTCATCCCCATCTCCAGACAAGGAGCCTAGGCCTTGAACAGACTCACAAGTACACACGAAAAACCAATTGGTTAATTTATGTCCTGCTCAGAGCTGCTTCACAGTAGCCTCCATCAAATGGGAGCCTGGTGCAGTGGTGCATGCCTAGTAATGCTAGCCACTTACGAGGCTAAGGAAGTAGGATCTCAAGTTTGAAGTTTGCCTGGGCAGCTTACTGAGACCCTGCTCACAAAGTACAAAGGGCTGAGGATGCAGTTCAGTGGGAGAACACCCCTGGGTCAACCCCCTGTGTTGCAAAACAATCCTGATGGATGAATGGATAAAGAGACAAACAAGCAGAACTACATTAAACGATGAAGCTTCTGCACATCAAAGGAAACAACCAACAGAGTGAAGAGACAACCTGTAGAATGGGAGAAAATATTTGCATACATATCTGATGAAAGTAGTATTCAAATGTATATGGAATTCCAATTCCATTAGCAAAAATAAATACCCCAAAATCAGAGCAAATAACTTTAAAAGTGCTTTCTCCAAAGACGACACAAAGAGCCAACAGGTACATGGGAAGAGCTCCCATAACATTCATTATCAGGCAAATGCAAGTCAAACCCAGGCGAGGTGGCACCTCCAGCCTGAGAGTAGCAGGTGGTAGACAGGCCGTGAAAGCTGGAATGCTGTGCACCGTGCAGGACGTGGAACACGGCATCGCTGCACGGAGAATGGTGCAGAGGCTCCGCTGCAAAGTGACAGTGGATCTACCATAAAATCCAGTAACCTCACTTCTGGGTATTAATCCAAAAGTACTGAAATCAGGAAATTCAAAAGATATGTGCCTCCCCTGTTCATTATATCATTATTCACAATGGTCAGAAAGTAGAAACAACCCAAGTGTCCATTCACAGATTCATAAATGAGTGGACAAAGAAAATATGATTCACAAACATTGTAAAAGAATAAGGAGCCTCGAATAGGACATGGTGATGCACACCTGAAATCCCAGCTCTCAGGAGGCTGAGGCAGGAGGCTGGCAAGTTCAAGGCCAGCCTGGACTACATAGTGAGACCCTCTCCTAAAAAAGAAAAAAGACAAAAAAGGAAAGAAGGCTTGAGACACATGGGGCATTAAAGGGGTCAGTCACAGAAGGACAAAGACTGTACAGACCCGCTGACTGAGGGATCCAGTGTGGCCCAACTCGCAGACACAGCGGTCGAGCAGTGTGGTCAGGAGCAGACAGAGGAGGAAGGATGGGGAGCTGCTGGTCAGCAAGCGCAGTTCCAGTGAGGCTGGCCGGTGTGTGCAGAGTTAGCAGTGCTGCACCCTGCACTTGGAAATGAAAGGGCTAGTGGTAACAACAATCACGCTTCTTTTGAAATCCCCAGTGACTCAGTGAGAAAACCCAGAAAGCAGCCATGCATCAAGCCGGGTCATTCAGGAGGCGTCCAGACATCGGCAGTGCAGGCCCGGCAGAACTCCAGGGGCCCGGGCCCCGTCTACACTCCTGATGTTTTCCTGGGGGAAACAGCTCACCTTGGAGCACCAGGGGGCTGGGGGCCCAGTCCTGGCTAGAGCCATGTGTCCAGGTTCGAAGCTTGGTCCCCCTCCTCCTGCCGCAGGCAGTGCCCAGGGAGCCCAGTGGCTGGCAGAGGTAAGGACAGGCTGACCAGGAGGGGGCTTGGAGGCCAGTTACCAGGCAGCACACATGGCTTTTTTAAGGTTTGTGTGCTCCAGTGTAGAAATGGTACCTATTCATTAAAAGAGCTTTTGAAACTGTGTTAGAAGCCAACCAGGAAGAATTCATAACTCCATCGATGATATCCACAACCATTAACACCTAGGAATATCTTCTGTCCGTCTTCCAAAAAATAACTCGTGGGTTTTCACCAACCTGTGTTCATTCTGCACGTTCAGTTTCGTAGCCTGATTTTTCACAATACTATAGCAGGACTCTTTTTCCATTTGTAGTTTTTCTCTCATATGTAACAGACCTTGATATCTCTGAGCAGCACAGAACTTTTTTTTCCCCTCACTTCTTCAGGGCTTTAAATAATGTTAAAATGAACATAGTAGTCGAACTACATTCTGAGTGATTATGGTGGAATTATGGAGCTAAAGAAATGGATGGTGTCATGGTGTGTGTCTGCATGTCCCCCAAAATCCTCATGTAGTCATGGGTTAGGCTTCTAGAGTTTATGATTGATTCATGGTCCAACGTTGGAATTATGGATATGAGCGCTACACCTGCCCTGGGGCGGACAGTTTGCACACAGTGTGAGGGAGGGAAAGAGGCTGCTTGCTGCTGCTCCTCCCTTTTGCTCTTGTTGCCTTTGCTGTTTCCCACCTCCATGAACAGTTGCCCTCTGCCATGTGCCACTCTGCCTTGGAGCCAGCCGAGTATGGACTGAAACCTCCACGAACTGGCAGCTAAATAAACCTTTCATTCCTTAGCTATGGGTGTCCGGTATTTTGTCTCAGCAACAGAGAAAAGTAATCAAGACAGATATGTTCTGAATCTCTTTATATACAGTATCAAACAACTTAGATATTTTACTTATGTGTAGTTACATACATGTTTTCCAATTCTGGAAACACATAGCTAAGATAATTTTGCTGCTAATTTCTGTTGGTTTATTGAAAGGAACAGTTAATGCTTATTTTTTTCTTAATTTTTTGACCAATTCTGCATGCTTATGTCTGGTAATCTGAACAACTACTTTGAAGATGACAATATACAATATAACAACCATTACTGATTTTCTACCATCTTGTTTTGCACTTCTGTATAGTTATTAATTTTTTTAAATTTTACTCACTTTAAAATAAAAAAACAAATTCTAGAAACAGAAATAGAGATAAAATAATAATGTTTATCCTTATTCCCTCGAGGTCAAGAGGCTGACAACTCCCAAATACTCTAGTCTGTTCTGCACATTCTCTGTAAACTCCCCATGACACCCATGTGATCACCAAGCAGAGCCCTTGCCAGGTTCTTTGGGAGCAGGTTGCCACATCAACCCATGATTCTAGAAAAGCAAACAGGTTTTATTGATTAGCTGCACAGCAGAGCACGCCCTGTCTGTCACTGCCAGTTCAGCCTTGCTCCTCCCCCGTCCCTGAGTTGCCGGTCCCATGTGGGGCCACCGAAAGAACAGCTGTCCAGAGCCACTGGGCTGTGGACCCTCCAGTTCCTGAGGAGCTGGCCCAAGCATGGGCATTGATGCTGCAGCAGCGTCCTCCTGACCCAGTGCTACCAGGGCTCCCCCAGGAGGGCCTGGGCTGCATCCCAGGGGTGTGCCCTCATCAGATGTGCACAGGCAGAG